ATCGGGAGTTGCCGGCGTAAGGAAGATGAATGCTAGTGGTAAAATATAATTAATGTACTATGTAAATCTGCTACAAGCAACTTTGAAAAGTCCTCGGTAGTATAATGGCAAGTATTCCCGCCTGTCACGCGGGCGATCCGGGTTCGATTCCCGGCCGGGGAGGCAATTTTTCTTTACCTGCACAATTTTAAAGTTACTGTGGATGTTGTCTCCAAACGTGAACCCATTTCAAAGGCACCGTTAAAATGTGAAAGTTTTATTAATTGATTAAACTTTTCATCACAGAATCCTTGCTGGTAAATGATTTCTTCATGCGAAAGATGATATGATACCTTAGTATGTCACAAGACTCAGTGTCAAGCATGCTAGACAGTTTTCGAATTCTGGAACAGGTGTTAAGAACTTGTGCTTACTTAGGTGCTGCATCTCTGCCAAAATTAACTTTAAATCATTATCAAAGAGATGGAATAAAAGCAAAGAGTGTGTTTTCGGTACAATGTGTTTATGGTAAGATATACGTTCAACGAAAGCAAGATTTTTAGACAAACATGCTGTAACATCGTTCTTCGTGGTGCTTCGCGCTTTTATTTGTCATTAAAACGTTAAGTGCTGGATTTCCATATATACATGATGTGTATCACTTTCATCCTGCACAAAACCCTACCTGCAAACAGCACCATCATTATGGCGGAAATGAGCAGTCAATATTATGCACATTATATGCTTCAACATATAACATTATAATGCTATGCCTAGAGAACTGCGATATGACACACGTTGCAACATGAATTTCTCATAGATAAATATTTGCAGTGGTCTAAGGAACATTCATTCCAATTTGAAGAAAAAATGTTTTTTTTCTAATATGACGCGAGGAGGTCGTTCGATCTTCTGTCGTGGTTGTTTAGAAGGACGATGATAACAGATGGTACAAAAATCTTTTGATCACTTTAAAGTAAATATTTCGCAGGCAATAAATGCGGTGGTTTCAAACGATGACGAATCAACAGGGGTCAATTGTCCTGGCCATACAGAAAATTGCGTGATTCTTGCGCAGTGTATCGTGCAAAGAGTTATCATTAAATCAATTGACAAAGATGGCTATGTGAATCCTTAAGTGGTACAGGTGCTGAAGTATGCAAAAAAACTATTCACCGACATATACATCCGTTGTGCCTGCGCAGGATTCATACATATTCGATTCATCTGATATTAACTGTAATCGAATGTATGGTTTCTAAACTCCACATCACAACCAAGATGTCAAGAAGTCCCTTTGATGTGAAATTCTGCGAATACTGCGTCAGGCACGATCAACATCCAAAGTATATTTACCTCTTTCTCACCTATAGCGGAAAAGAAATTTGTTGACTTATATCGCAGTAAAAAATATTATTAACAAAATTTATTGCAATGCTTGATTTTTGGCGCAGTTGTTCCTGGCTCCTGGTCCATTCAATCATTATCATACCAGAACCCCAACCTGTGTGTGTTGTTCGTCACTCAACAACTTACCATCCGTTATTCAGAAGATCTAATCGCAGAAGTGTGGATGGAATTTTTTGCTCAAGGAAATTTGCGATTAAGACAAAAACCGTTCATTCTCTTGATTCGATCCGTTACCTCGGGAGGTCGAAGCAGAGTCTGCCAAGATTGTCACATTGTGTAGTAAGCTATCAGATGGATGACACCAAATTCTAACCCTAAGAGGTAGTCACATCAGTTAGTATGGCCATAGTGCTGAATCTGGGTGTCATCACACCAGAATCCAAGATCTTCCAGTTGTTCGTAAGTCAGTAACTTGCGATCGATTTCCCAGTTCGTGGGATGTAAGCAACGGTTGGTCAAGGGAATTATCGAGTAAGAGAATGATTTGATACTGAAACACTATACCTCTAGTATTCAGAGCCGACCTGCTTCCACTCTGCTACTACCAGCCCCGGTCCCTCTCTCTCGCGTGGAATATGTATAATATGACAGTGTATATGCACAATATAAAAATCAGTTAACATATGCTTTCACCAGAATCTGTTCATTATACTGGATAATTAGTGATACGATTTTCATTGCAGCTAAGACCTCCGTTGCTACCTCAAACGCACGAGCATGAGGAAAAACCGATGAAGAACGACATTCGAATAGACGAGAATTGCATTTAAGCAGGAGTATGCAGATTACATAAAACTGGAATGGCAAAAATGATGGAGGAACGGATGCAGCAAGAAAGAGTATCTTTAATGACTTTAATGATGGTTACTAGAAGTTATGAAACGCACTCAGTCACCAATGCCCAAAGACGTTCCATCTTTTTCTTCATCTTCATCTTCCATCGCCGCTTCTCGTTTCGAGTCGCGGAGGCAGACGCGTCAGATAGTGCTTCCAACGTTCCTGATCCTGTGCCAGAGTCTGAGCTTCGGCAAAAGTCAAATGGAGTCTGGAACAGACTCCTTCCATATGTTTGCACCAGGTTAATCTTGGCCGCCACCTGCGCCTTTGCCGGTCGGATTTGCAAGGAACAGTTGTTTAGCCTTCCTTTCTGGAGGCATTCGCAACACATGCCCA